CTACACTTGGAAATCCGTGCTTAGGCCCTCAATCGTTATTTCAGCATATTGAAAATCTACTTTTCAAAAGGTAAACAGGGAAGGCAGGTTCTGGCAGGCAGCTCTGCAGCAGGACACTCATTCAGACCCATTTTCCAGCCAAGTTACTGCTATCAGTAAAGGTCACAGCACTTAGCCGAGTTGCAAAAGCCCTTGATAAAGGAGAAACTGAGCCCCACAAGGACAAAGCAAGCAGCCCAAGAGAGGCAGAGCAAGGAACCCAGGTCTCCTGAGAGCCGGTGTGGGGCACCAGGGATGCTGCTTGGCAGCAATGCTGAAGGAAGATCCAAACCCAGCCAGCTTGCACCTCCTCAGCACAGCTGCTGTTTATTTAGCTGAGTTGTTTTCGACGCAGGGTTAACAAACACCTCAAGGTCAGTCCCCAGACTACCTCAGAAAAGCTGGCACAAGCTAACAGACAAAAGTGGATGCCACAAAGGAACCTTTGTGTGTGCAGCTTCCTGGGCATCTCTGAGGAGGGTATTTGTGGGGCTCAGAAATCCAAAGTTTTAAACTCACTGAGTGACCTGGTTTGCACAGACAAACCAGTCATGAGAATTTACCACATACATGGGTTTCTGCCTTTAGAGACAGCTTTATCTTCTTGCTCTGCCAGGCTGTCCATCACTAGCAAAATTCTGATTAGAGCTGGAGGGAACAGCAGACTTTACAACCCCAATCTCAGCAGCTGCCAGCAAGCTCACCCATTCAAACTTTTTGAGAACAACATTTTGAAACTATTTTAAAAAGAGGGCTAAAGGAATTTGCTTGCAGAAAGGTGCTGCTGCAAGCAGACAGATGCTGTTCCCCATTTTCAGCAATACTTTCATGTAATACCAAAGCACCCGATTAAAGAAACGCCATCGCTGGCGGCAGATGGTACTTCTCACCCCAATCTGCAGCAGCCTAACGTTAGATGTAATCTGATTGCAAACACAGCACGTGCATTTTTTTCCAGATGAGCAAGCTTTACATAATTTTTCACTGCCCTTATTTTAGCTTGGTAACAAACATCGTTGATATGAGTAAACAGCCTGATTACAGTGTTACCAAATGAATCCCTTCTGCTCACCCCACCCTTCCAGCACCTGGGAATGTCCTTCCAGCAAAACCGCTTTTTCCCCCCCTCCCATTGAACTACCTGCTTACACCACCTACTTTTAGCTGCTTATACTATCAAGAGCCAGGAGGGGGCCGTGGAAGAACCTGACTTAAGGCAATGGTATGAAATGAAAGCAGTTGCTCACCTTTTTGAGAACAACATTTTGAAACTATTTTAAAAAGAGGGCTAAAGGAATTTGCTTGCAGAAAGGTGCTGCTGCAAGCAGACAGATGCTGTTCCCCATTTTCAGCAATACTTTCATGTAATACCAAAGCACCCGATTAAAGAAACGCCATCGCTGGCGGCAGATGGTACTTCTCACCCCAATCTGCAGCAGCCTAACGTTAGATGTAATCTGATTGCAAACACAGCACGTGCATTTTTTTCCAGATGAGCAAGCTTTACATAATTTTTCACTGCCCTTATTTTAGCTTGGTAACAAACATCGTTGATATGAGTAAACAGCCTGATTACAGTGTTACCAAATGAATCCCTTCTGCTCACCCCACCCTTCCAGCACCTGGGAATGTCCTTCCAGCAAAACCGCTTTTTCCCCCCCTCCCATTGAACTACCTGCTTACACCTACTTTTAGCTGCTTATACTATCAAGAGCCAGGAGGGGGCCGTGGAAGAACCTGACTTAAGGCAATGGTATGAAATGAAAGCAGTTGCTCACCTTTACTTTAGAACAAAATTAACTCACATATTGATTTGCCAAGTACATTTTTGCCAGTGGGAACTGACCACAGACCTTCCTGTAAGTTTAGTCAAGTGTTAAGTCCATGCAGCAAGAGCTATGAAAACAGGATTTTCTTCAAGGAAGCTGCACTTCTGTAAACCCCCTTGAACAAAGCTGTGCACTTGTCAAAGAGTAGCTGCTCAAGTTATGAAAGAGTTTGTTTAACAGAAAACAAGTGAATACGTGTCTGACTGCCCTTCTCTTCCTCTGTGCTGGCTGAGGGACAGGATTCACTACAGGCCAAAGACAATTTCTTTGTTCATTAAAGTAGTGAGAGACTCAAAGTTGAGACCATTTCAGACATTGCAGAACTAGCCAGGTTTCCCAGAGCTGCACCAAGGAGATGGATAAAAGCTATTCTATTAAAATAACTTTTTTCCCTATGAATTCTCAGAGTCCATCTCCTGAGTAAAAGTTACAAACCAGTTATCACAGAGTTGCTTTTAAACAGTGCTCCCATTTGCCATGAGATTTGAATAGGGACCATTTGTATCCTTTGAACTCTGTTTTTCAGGGCAGGAAGACAGGCTGGCTGCCTCCTACTTGTCAAGCACACCCTGCCTAGCTTCTAACAAGCTTCCAAGAGCAACACAAAGTCTGTTTTTCCAACTCTCTCAGGCAGGTGCAACCTGTTCCAGCTGCCCAGTAACTGGAGCTAGAATTTAACAAGCCACATTATCTTGATTTCAACATCCATCCCTATCCAGCCATTTTCAGCCACCTGCAGGAACCCTCAAACCCTCAGTATCTGCTCTTGGATCAGCTAAGTCAGTCACTTGTGGTGAGGAGGCCGTGGAAGCCACGATCATCATCCAGGAACAGCAACAGGAGAGGCAGGTCTAGGTCACAGAATTCTGCATTTCTTGTGACAGGCACCACAAACACAAAAAACGTTGACATAAGGTGCTCACTGCACCATAGGTACACAAAGGGTTTGAAATTCCAATCTACTAAACACTTTCACTACTAATTACCTCTGCTGGTCCCCAGAACACAGGCCATTTCTGAAACCTCCACAGCAAGTGGGCAGTAGAAATAACAACAACAGAATAAACTCATCATTTTTATTCTGCAAAGCAATATGCACATCTTACAAACACAAAATTAATCTAGGAGAAAAATGTCATTTCCAAATCAGCTATTAACCATCATGCAACAAGACAAGTGAAATGTAAGAACAAAACAAAAAAGCCATCTTAACCCCACAATCACCTGCAGAGGGTTGAAAACTAAGGCTCAGATTTCTATGCGATGCCAAAGAAAAATGCAAAAGAAAATGGCAGCTTTCTAAGAACAAGAAAACACGTACAAATAGAATCAAAACTGATTCAAGTCATAGTTAAAAAGAAAAAGCAAACAAAAAAGGAAAGATCAATATGATCTGAACTTTAATATTACGTTTTTGCTCTTCTGTTTGGCTGCATTTAACTGTTGTACATCACACCTTGGAACAATCCAATATTCCTCAGTATTCCAGCACTTCAACCTGGACAGCCTTGCCTCTCTGCTGCAGCACAGGGCTGCTCAGGGACCAACTAAGGCCAAAACATACAGCTCTCACATTCTGCCTTTTGTGTTTGTGGGCTGCAATCCTGATATTTGTGGGTACTTCAATAAAGTGGGTGATAAACTGCAGAGAAGGCTCCTCTAATTACCAAATATATATATATAAAAAACCTTTTCCCCAGCAGACCAAATTCCAGTTTGGGTTTTTTGTGAGCTGAAACAGAAAGGACTCAGCTCTGCTTTTTTAAAGGAGCTGGGTTATGTTGGGTGTTCTCTAGCTGTTTCCAGAATTTGCAACACCAATCCAGTCTGCTTCCTATTCCTGCCTCTGGTCCCCAGGTTCAGGCCACCCTCATAGGCAACTGGCAGTGGGTGTCAGTGCAGGGCAGGGGCTGGGAAGAAGCAGGCACAGCTCAGGCAGTTTCCATGAGAAGCCTCTAGCTGTTTTGACTTCACTGATTCATTTAAGTGAAGCTCTGTGAGCCCAAAGCAGCATCAGGAGAAAACTGGAAGCTTAACTTTATCCCTAGACTTCAAACTAGGCCATCTCTAAAGCTTTGCCTTAACTTCCCTGGAGAAAAACATGTTAGTTAATACCCCTTAAGTAACTGAAATTCTATAAAGGAAACATGTTCTGAAGAAAAGGGAGACTGTTTTGCTTCAAAGACTCATGAACTTACTGAAGTCGTGTACATACAGACCAACAGGTACCATTCAACACTGTCCATGGGCAATAAATGAGGAATCTTATGCCAGCAAAACTGAGACTCTGAGATGTTGACTTGAGTTTCTTCTTTTGTGCAGTTTAGAGTGAAAGGAGAAGGGGAAAAAGCAAATGTGTACATATGGAGATGTGCAGGTGTGCTACCCAGCAAGAAAGCTGAAAGACAAGATGAAAGGTCAATTAAGGCAATCAGTGAGATTTTAAAAGAAGTGGTGGAGATGTCTGCAGGCAAAGCCTGACTCCTGATAGTGCAGGACCCTCCACAGCAAAAAGCCAGAAAGAAACAGAAGCCAGAACTGGAGAGAGAGAAATGCACAGAATCCAACCTCTGATTTAAGAATGGACACAGAGAACAGTGTGTGTTTTACTGTGTGGCTTCTTTGACCTTAATCACAGCAGCCCTAGTTCTCTTCTTGTCATGCTCCCCTGAGCAGAGCATTCCATGGAAATGGGGCAAAGCTAATCCAAGAGTCATTTCCAGCAGCCCTTCAGAGATGGATGGAGAGTCCCAGAGTGAATCTCTGTAACAGACTATGGGATTTCTTCTCCTTTCATAATTTGCACCTGCCCAAGGCTGTGCAGAGCCCCAACAGACTGTTCATACAATACATCTTTTTATTAAGTTTCACTTGCTAGAAAAAAAAACACCAAAGTTGACAGAAAGCTGCTCTGCAGCAGAGACTCACAGTCCTGGTTTGAGGGCTGTGGATGGAAGGCCAAGTGGAAAGCTTCCCAGATGGTCTCCGTGCTGACTGATTTTCTGGCATTCAGCAAGCCAAATAAAAAAAATAAATTAAAAAAAAACCCCAAACTTATTACTTTTTAATAAGAAACGTCTTTAAATGGAACTTCACTTCTTAATTTTTTTCCTATTAATAAAAGCACAAGTTTGCCCTAAATACAGCAATATTAAAATGTGAATATGTATTTCTTAAAAAAAAAATAATATCTAAAACGTTGATATCTTTTCTTGCAAGCAAGAAGCAAATGGAAGAAAGTATTAGGCCACACAAACACACATTTAATTCATGTAGTAGATTGGTGGCTCTGGAAATGCAGTATTTATATCAAAGGTGCAGACTGTTCAAACACACTGTACATACCATTGGGCAAAAAACAAAGTTCTGTTGGTTTGTTTTGAGACATTTGCAAAGGCATCTTAACCTGCCCAGATGCAGCTAGACAAAAATATCTTGCTCTGCCTATAAGCAGCCATATCACTACAGATATCTACACAAACATTCTGCCAGCTCCACAGGTAAAGATGAAGGAGTCAGGCCGTGCCACAGCCCGGCTGCACCCTCTGCCCTATCTGGAATATACCTTTATAAATATGTACAAATCAATTACAGGCACTTGAAATGTCTTTGGTTGGAATAAACCAACATTGCAAGATAATGTATTCACAGAGTGTTAAGACCCGTTCTGGGTTCAGCAGGCAATGATTACGTTTCTCAGTCATTCTCAGAAAAAGGAGAGGATGGATTATGCTTCTGACAAAGCAACCTAAACAAAAGACAAAGAAAACATTTAATTAAAAGTCAAATTCTTAATCCCATAACTGTGATATTACTTATCTCCATGCAGCTGCCATATCTGTCCTTGCTTTTTCAAAGAACCTTGAAAAGTCTCACTTGGAAAGGAAATCAAAGGAAGTCTGAAGGTGTTCTGTACTTGGTATCACCAATTAAAAAACAAACCAACAAATTAAAAACTCACAACAGCTTCTATTACAAAATACCTTTAAGATCAAAGAATGTCAACATTAGCTTCCTATTTCACAATTCAATATATTCATATTTCATCCTTCAAGCAAAGTGCAGGTCTCCAGTGCAGTACTGAATAATGACTGTTTCAACAGCTTTGTCATTGTTTTAATTTAAGTCTGATTAACAACCATTAGAATTACACAGCATGTTTTATTCAGTTTTCATTCTGTTGTGATAAAAGATAAATAAAACTACTCAATGTTATCTATCCAATGCTTCACACAAAATGGTGCACATAGTACCAGAGGAGCTTCATTACAGCACTTACTGAACTGCAGGAATCCACTTCTGTAGGAGAGAAATCTAACTCTCAGGATCTACCAAACACATATGTGGGGTTTGTGGCACCCATCTGCACTGCTCACAATGAAACACCCATGTCTCTTTGAAAGGGCATTACATCTTAATCTCCAGAGGGAAGAAAAACCAGCCTGCACTTTGTAAAAAAAGGAGGTTTTCTGTGTTTTCTTATCAATGTTTTGTTACTACAGACTCACCTTTTCAGAGCAGAATTCTGTATTGCTTTGTCTCAGTTTGCTTGGTCTGCCTTTAATAACTGCATAGCAGAACATGGTAATCACCATCACAAAAAGGAAGTAACTGGTGTGCATGAGATGCAGGTTTATTAGAGAGCGATCGTCCTGCACAGAGAATGAAAAGCATTTACTGACAATGCACCAAGAGTTGGCACTTCATATTAAAGCAATAATTATCAGATCACCATAGAAATTAACCTCATGAATCAACTTTTACCCCTTTGCGCAGCTGGCACAGTAATGAAAGTGATTTCTAATCATGGCACAAAGAGCCCAAATGTTCCTTGTGTTAAAAACCTGCACTAGGGATCCCTTCCCATGTCCTGTCTTTTGTCCAATGATTTCAAAATATAAATGTTAGTAATTAAAAGTTCTGAGGCACATGGAGATTATATGAAAGCCATCATGCCCCTCAGGGGTAAAGCAGGCCCAGCTCTATCACAGCACAGAACAAACCAGCACTGAATGGGACTATTTTAGGGCACAAACAAGCCCATATTCAGTTAAACAAAAGTCAAGCATTTATTCACCATAACATACAGAAACACCATGACACTTACATCTGGAACTATAACAGTTAGCTTGGGGTTTAAAGCATGGTACACTTTTCCTATTGCTCCTTTGTAACACCAGAAAGGGTTATAATCTTGTGCATATTTGGTGTTAGAGTCCCTGGCTGTGGTGAAGATCTTGTACCAGACTGTAGCATTGCTGTATGTTTCAGGGACACAATGAGGTGGCTGGCTGTGGAGAAGCAGAAATAATTAGCACCCCAGTTGGCATTTTCCAGGTTCAGTAAGAATAACTTTTAGAACCAAGTCAAGCCCAGTCTTCTCAACAGCACCATAAACCATGGATTTATTCTGGACCTTCCAAAACACCAGCAGAACCAAAAGCCTAACCAAAAGGGTGCCCACAAACCCCCACAGGATTCCCACACAAAATCAGAATGCAGCTGTATGTTTTTCCAGTAACAACATCCCACAGCTTAATTAGAAAAACACTGGTTTTCATAAGGCTTCCCACTGCCACGGTGGTGGCATTCCTTCCCATCTATCTGGTGGTTCTTCAGGGTGAACTCCTGAATAGTGTCAGGGACTCCAGGGAAGATAAAAGGAATCTGTTGTGATGAAAGGTCTGTCCCTGCTGGGGAATGGGAGCAAAGCAGCATTCAGGTTACACTGATCTCTCCACAGGAAGAGGAGAAGCACCTTAGTGTCAGGCCTCAGCTCTCACACAAGGGATTCAAACTAAAATACAGGATATCTCTCTTAAATATTTGTGGATTCTTTTCTTCCTCATGAAGTTTAAATCACAGGTAGCATGTGGCAAGGCAGGTAGGGGCTATAGTTCAAAATACCCACAGAAAAACCTAGTGCTGCTAAAAGAAAGGTTTTTACTGTGGAGGAAGGAGGGCAGGTACACAACTTGCACAGGCAAGTCAGGTTCAGGGGCAAGTGACCACCTCAGAGAACCAGCTGAGGAATTAAACACCCAGTAACCAGCCCATGAAGGAGTGTTTAAGGTGCACTTACACTGTGACAGGGAACACATTGCTGGCTGCTGTCACTGTCATGCAGGTTGTGAACACGACCTGCTCGCAGTGGCCGTGCAAAACGCAGTCATCTGAGTTCCAGGCAGCTGGCAGGGTGAATGTAATATTTATCTCCTCATGGGATTCTCTGCCTTTGAGAAAGAGAGAAAGAAAGCTGGCTCTTGTTCACAAAAGTATCTGAGCAACAATCTCTAGGATAAGGACAACACACAAATTGCTAAGGCAGCAGCAGCCACCCCCTGAACCTGTACCTTTGAACTCATCCAGGATCTTCACTATCAACAAAGAGAGCAAAAAGAAAGTTATAAAACCAAACCAAATCAAGCTACAAAAAGCCCAGCTGCTGATCTATCTCATCTCTCCTGCCCCCAAAAGTGGGGGGTCATAAGGCTCCTTCCAGAAATCAGAAACTCCCTATTTGTACATGAATTCATGCAAGGCCAGAGAACTTTATTAGAAAGTACAATCACAGATCTGCAGCCTTTCTTCCTCCCAGAGACTTTGTTCCACACTTGCTTTTTCTGACACTTACTTTTCAAATTGCAGATACTGGTGGAGACAAAAAGGTGCCAGCAGATATTGAACTGCAGGTTAAGTAGTGCAAATATATTAATGCTGAAAATAAATCCAGGCTACTGGAAATGGAACTTGCATTTGAGAGCTCTTAAAGCAGTAACAAAATAACAACATAATATCCAGTAATACAGATTCAAAACTATGGCAAATGCCTCTGGGGTTCAAGACACCTTCAGGCATTATTCCAAAATACAACCCTGGCTAAAAGCTAAAATTCAGTGAGGTTTTATTATCCATTTCTACTACTAATTCTCTACAATCTCCTGTTAAAAGTTACTGGCAAGATAGCCATATGACAGAAAAGTCTCTTCACACCACAGAAATTGTAACCATCAAATTGGTTGCTGTTTGTTATACTGAAGCTTATTAATAGTGTGCATTTTAGATAAACTTTGTTTTAGACAACATGCTACTTGATCTCTGATGTATCTCCATTAATGCCTTCAAAATGTGAGTTAAGGATGTGAAGATGTATCAAGATAGCACTGAAGACAGTCACTGTAGAAGCTTTTGTTTGGAATTTTGTTGGCCTAAAAATTTCCTTGCATTGCCATTAGGTTAATTATTTAAAACTGCAAAGTCTGATCTTGGTAAACCTGCAGGCTCATTCTGATGCAAGGAGAAGTTTTCCAGCAAACAAGTGAAGGGCTCCATATAGGAACATACTCAGACAAACCTGGAAACACATGTATGTTCTAAGCAGAAGATTTATCTCACCAATAATATGCTGGCAAGTTTTTATTTGATTATATACTTATCACTCACATTTATAAAGGTCAAGTCTTGCATACCTGAGAGTCCAATTTGGTGTCCAAAAATTGTGGAACTTAAATGTGTGACATTGCGGGAATATCCGCCAAACGGCCGGAGCGGGTCCAGTGTCAAGGTGATGGTGACAGAGATGTTTATTGGACCAGAGTCCTCCAGAGTCTGTGGAGACTGGGTGGAAGATCTTGCCTGTCCACTAGTCACGGTACTTTCTGGAGTCGTGGTGTCATTGATGAGATGCTTTAAGGTTTCATTCTCAGATATACAGAAGTCCAAATCATTGAACCGCAGGAGGAAGGTGTTCCAGTCCTGAAAACAAAGGTGAAACTTTCAACCAGGTTAACAACTTAACCCCTGGCTGCCACTTCCCTAGAGCCATGCAGACCTTGACACCCACAATCCCACCTGCAGTTCTGGGACATTGCACTGAAGTCAGCTCACAAAGCAAGGACAAATACCACCACAGCTGTCTGAACAATGGGCAAGCTGTCCACACTCAGATGGGTTCAATCCCCACCACCTTTAATGTCCTCCTGTGACCCACACAAGGGACACATTGACTTGGTCCATCCAGAACATCCTCCTGCAACCTCCTCAGGGAAAACACTGACTTGGTACACTCCCCACACATTGACTTGGTCCATCCAGAACATCCTCCTGTAACCTCCTCAGGGAAAACACTGACTTGGTATGTTCTCCCCACACTCAGAGGATGAGAGGTTTCTCCCAAGGGTTCCCTCATTACAGAACAGTACTACTGGATAAGGTTCCTTGCCATAGTAGGGAAGACCCAGGTCAGATGATTTGGCCTCATCCTCCAACTAAAAACAGACTATTCCAACACTCACACCAATACCCTCTTTCCTCACTGAATAGGAGGCAAATATAAATGCAGACAATATTCCATCAGACTGCACACTCCCATGAGAGGGTTCTTGGGAAAGAAAAAACAACAACCAAGCTTGTTTGCTTTGGACATGCTTTTCAAATTAGTGTTCCCACTGTTTATTTAGCTCAGGAACTTTTAGTACCTACCTCTGTCATTTCTGGTGACTTGATCTCCTTGATTTTGAAGAAATAGCCCAGTGTCAGAAAAGCTATTGCCATAGCACTCACACTGATCATAAAGACCACCAGGGGAGGTCGACTGCTGATGTAAACCTTCAGGTTCTCCAACAGGTTTATGTTGAACATTATTCTGATTGTTCACCTGAAAACAAAGAGAACACAGAGCAGGCAGTGAGACCTGTCAGGAGAGCCTGAAACCTTAAAGATCCCCTCTCCTCTGTCCCTAGCCCCCAAGGGCCAGACCTTCAAAAGGGGATCAGAGAAGCAGCCTACATGATTTCAGGCTTCTGCATCAAGAATCCTGCACACAGAAACACTGAGCAACTGCCCTAGGGAGGAGGCTGGGAGACTCCTTTATTTTTGGATTCTTGCAGAGAACTTTCTCTCCAGTCTGTAAACAAAGAGAGGACCTTACACATGCTGAGAAAATGTATGAAATCATTCATTTCTGTCCAAAAGATCATATTTTGTCTGATTCTCTTTCTGAATTTTCTTTTCATTTGCAGAGCAAAAAGACCCAAACCAAGCTTCCTGCTTCAGCTTCCCCAGCTCCACTCCCAAGAAAAAAGCAAACAGCTCAGTGTTAAGGGCCAGCCTTGCAGCACCTACTGCATAGGCTCTGCAAAGAAGGAACTTCAAGCAAACCTCTTTGTCTTGTCTGCAATCCTGGTTGAAAAGGCTTTTAACCCCAACTAAACTAGAAGGGCAGTAATTGCTCATAGGGATGCCAAAAAATTCATAGGAAATGGCAAACTCCAGGACTAGCATCTAAAGCATTCAGTGCTGCAATGGTTAATGTTTGAGCATTCACACAGATCTGATAACATTTAACTAAATCAAGGACTCTGCTCCCTGCAGGTCTGGGTGCATCTAGAAGCACTCATCTTTTATACCCCAGATGTAGCAGGGCTGAAAAGTGGTAGGTCTGAGGATGAGTGGGACAGGTTTTGAGGACAAGAACAAGAGAGTGATCTTTGATCTGATCTATTGCTTTAAAAGAAAGGAAGAGAAGTGAAAAGGACAAGCTTTCAGACAAAGACTTTTTCAGATCACACAATGCACAATGATCACAACTTCCTTGTGTGTATCTGAGATTTTACTGGCAGAAATGCTTCTGTTATCTTTAACAGGAATATTGACAAGATCTGCAAAACTGCTGCACAGAAAGGAAAATGCAACTCGCTGAGGAGAGACCCAAGATCCCCTGGCAATGCCAGAACAGGGAGCTGTGTGTGCTGACTCTCCCCATCCCCACACACCTACCTGCTTACCTCAGTGAAATCTGCTGGAACAGAGCTCACTCCAGAGCACAAGATCATGTCTTGGGTTTGCTATTTCGCACCATCAACCCATTTCCATCCACTCTGCAAAGACCAGGAAAGCTGGCAAGGTCTGATCAGTGAGAATGATTGGGTGACAAACACCTTTACAAAAACCCAGTGTGTCCAAGAACAAAAAGCACAGAGCAGAGAAAGGATGAAGGAGAACAGAGGAAAGAAAAGGTGATGATAAATGTGCACCTCACCAGAACTTCTGTCTTTGTCCAAGACCAGCTTTGGACCCCACAGGCCAGTGAAGGTGTCAGGAGAAGGCAGGAGTGAGAGGGAAGGGAGAGCTGGTGTGGGAAAAACTCATGCTGGTACAATCCCTGGGTATGTTCTGTTTCCTATCTTGTCACTGGCAGCAAATTCCTTAAATGAGCCCTAGTTAAAAACCCAAATGCTCCATCTAGAAACACTGGAGACACATGTTGAGATGGAAAGAGATCAAAAGATAAACCAAAAGCAGAGTTGTAGTCCATGTTCCCTTCTGAATTTCCTCTTGAAAATAACAACACAGATGCAGGCTTTATGACAGCATTTAATCACAGCTGAATGTCACCTCAGCATATACCATACTCTAATCCCTTTCTAAAGGGGCTTCCAACAGCTCCATTAGCATGTTTGTTTACCACAGGGTCTAACATCAGCCATAAAACTGGATGTGCTGAAAAGCATACACAGAAAACCACTTGGGCTAATATTTTTATGTAAGAGATCACCAGCTTTTAAGTGCTGGTTGCTTAATATGCTCCCATAACTCAATGGCTTTGAAAGCAATTAGAAAATGCTATAAGCTGCAATTTCCAAAACATAATATGCCTTTTGAGCATTTGGGAGAGAAATGGGAACAACTGTGGATTTCAATAGTAGAGCTGACAGGAAAATAGCAATTGGCCATGGTTAGTGGCAGCCAGAGGAAGAGGAATGTTTCCACACTGCTGCCTGAAGAACTGCTGGGGTTTTTTTAAGAAATAAAGTGCTTAAATAACACTAAGTATCAAAGAAGTTGTGAAACAGATCAGTTTGTTCCCACTAGATTTGAGGGGTTCAGTTAATGATCCACACACTTAGCTCCTCCTTTCTGTTATGACCTGCTAGAAATACAACACAAACACTGTTCCTCTCCCAGCTCTCGCTGGAACTAACAACTTCCTTTGTGTAAATGAGTAACCTCAAGAATACACTTTAAACTTTTATTTCTTTTTCACATAGTTAAAAAAAGAAACCAAATGCTATTACCTCCTGGCAGGTCAGGAAAGCAAGATCAGATTTCACTTTTTAGCCAAATAAATAATGTAGAAAGCAGCTCTAATAACTGCTGCCTGCCCTTCTGCTCTCTGCCTGAGCCTTTTCCTACCTGTGCAATAAAATCCTCCCCAGTCAGCCCAGCAAGGAGCTCAAGCACAATGGGAAGAATGGGAACTGCCAGTCTGGAACACTGGCCCACCAGCTCCAAGGTAATTGCTTGGAATTGAGGTGGGGAAGTGAGGACAAAATGCCACATTCAGGCTGAGCTCCAGCTGAGGACACTGCTGGGGAGACACGCCAGGAGCTCTGGGGAGATGCTGTGCTCCTGCATCAGACACCAAAACCCCTGCACACTCTGCTGTACAGTTAAATAAGATAGAAATGGTAAAAGATGGAAATACAGAACAGCTAATGAGGCCAAGTTCCAGCAACCACAGAACTGGACAACAATCTAAGAAGTGAGAGAACTTGCTCTACAGTTCAGTGGAGTTTTCCTCCACCACAGCCAGGATCAAATACAGTAACCTCAGAAAAGCAACATTTTACATTCCTCCTTATTTATATATGAAGGACTGTAGAAAAGGTAACTTTTTTAACAGGCCTCTGAGTTTTTCCAGAATAAATTACAAATAAGGAAAGTCTTGAAGTCTATTGCAAATTAAATGAATTAATTAAATGAACCATATAAGTATTACAATCCCATTTCAGGGCTTAGCAGCAAAGGAGCTGAATTCCTAACAACAATTTAAATGCATGCTGTGCTGAAGCAGGTATTCAAATAAAGCTGCAGTTGCAAAAAGGAAAAAAACCCAACACACTAAAAATATTTATTTTAAAGAGATCAAAGTAAATTTCTGACAATTTTTACATGTATCTTGCCATAATGTTGACTACCATCTTTCTACCAGGAACCTTAAAATAATGTAATTTCCTTACAAACATCTCCCTTTCTTCTTGTGCATGGAAGATGGTCACAGGTTAGAGGAAAAAAATGTGTGTTAAATTAAAAAAACAAAACAAAAAACACTGAAATACCTCAAGGACTAAAACTGTGGGTGAAGGAGAAGGGCAGCAGGCCAGCACTGACCCATCCCAACAACACTCCATTAAGATCTCACACATTTCTTAAGCCTGCACATCAGAACATTTAATCTCAACTGTGCAGTTCAGTTGATTTATAAATCAATTATGTTTTCAAAGATGGCCCATCAGCAGCAGGACAATGGGGGTTAGGAAATGGGTCACATTGGGGTTAACCACTTGCAATGAAAATAATGTTGCATTCCAGAAAAACACTAATGAACACCAACCAACTGAACAGTGATTTTCCTAGCAAACCACCCATAAATAACAGGCAAACAAAGAAATGGTGCTGATCTCAAACTAAAGTGCCTCTCAATTAAGAACAGTAAACAGTAGCAGGCACTAAAAATATCTTTAATTTGGTTTTCTCTTCAAACCAACCTTGATGTCTAACACCTAGAACCCCAACATAGGAAAGCAAAACAGATCACAGTTGTGTTCACTGTGAAGTTATTAGAGTTCAGAATATTCAAAATTATCTGTGAAAGCTTGATTATGACTAATTAATGCCTATACCCCTAATATAATATCACCTATCAGCCCACTAAACAGAACTGGCAAAAGTAACCTCAGCTGATCCCACAACTGCTGAGAAGGCTCTGCTGGTTCTCAGAGCAGCAGCAATTATGTTCCTCTCCTTTCTTTTAAGAGGCAAAAAGATAAAAATTAAAACTAACCAGAAGTTTCTAAACTCAGCAGCAGCTGCCCTTCCATGCCCTGTCAACAGCTGTTACAGGCAGTTTCTTTTAGGAATTGAGGGAGGACAATCAACAAATTTGTTCTTTACATCTTTGTTGGAACCACATGACATAATATTTATACTACAAAAGAGGTAGTTGAGAGAAAAAGTTTTCCTGTTAATTTGATAGGAAGATTGACTTTACCACACCAATATCAATGGAAACAAAGGAGGTGTCACTATCTGCAGCTGTTTCAGTTCTTTTTAGGAAGCACATCAAGACCCTGTGGGAGGAAACCTTAGAGCCTGAAGCTCCTGTCAGCAGAAGGGCAGGCAGGGCTGACTGAGGAAGGCAGGCAGGGGAATCCTCCAGAGCAGAGAATTTCTTCCCTTCAGCTGATCCTCTTCCCCTTCTCCTGTCCTTCAGCATTTAAAACCAAACAAAAACAAACCCAAAGAGACTGATAGTAAACACCATCAGTTTTCTTCACAAAGCAGGGGAAGAGAAGCAGTTGGGTCTTGTGGAAGAAGCAAGCTGCTCAAAACATCACTCAGGATCCTGCAAACCGGGTGCAGATGCAGCCAGATCAGCAGCCAGATGTGCACAAACACCTGGACTGCCCTGAGACTGCACCAGGTAGAAGGACCCAAGTAGGAGATAACAGGGAACTGGCTCAAGCCAGGCTGAGGTTCACCACAGTTTTATGAGCTATTTTATCCTACAAACGTGTTTGCTGATTAAAAAACCCACAACAAACCATTTTCTCAGAGTCTGGAAGCAGAAAACATGGCAGGAAAATGGCCTGGTCCTTT